CTATTGTCTTACGCATATTAGGTCCATTGTCAATTATTACTATATAAACTTTTCACATAATAACCATTCATCAAAAATTTCAAGTAATGTGTCACTAATATGTTCTGCAGTATGTAAATAGCGAATATATGTGACAGTAAGTAAAATTTCATGTAAATTAAATTCTGCATCTAAAAAAGAACATGTTATACCAAGATATCCTTGTTGATTTTTTGCTGTCCAAAAATCTGTTGTAAGGCTAACTGAAATAGCATTATTTTTAATATATTTAATAATTATAGGAAGTGTATAATTATATGCTTGATGGATAATTTTTTTAACTAGTTTTACATCAGGAACTATAAAGAAAGGATCTAATTCATATATAAATTTTCTAAATAATTCACTTTGAACAACATTTAGCGGTATTAAATCTATAATAATCCAATTAATTAATAATTGTTGTAATTCTTGTTGTTTTGAATCTTTATGAGGACAAGTAATCATCTTTGTAATTGTAGTTTGAACCTATTAAAAAATATATACAGTATAATTAGTATTTAATTATAAAATTATAAATTTTATTACAATTAATATTTACCAATCTTTCTGTCTTTAATTCTTCTGTTATTTGATGATTTACAGCAAGATGAATAATAAGATTGCCTGTTGAGTTACCATTTGAATAAAGTTAACCACAAATTTTTTCATCTGTTATTTTTACTAAACATTCTGCACTAGTTTTACCATTATCTAACAATATTGGATTAAACCAAGTCTACACCTAGCTCTTATACTTATCAGTTTTTTCTAGAATTCTAGTTTTTTAAAAACTCTATCTAATTTCATTTGCTTATTCGTTTATTAGGATTTTGAGGTATAAGTATATTTGAATCATCTTCATTATAAATACTTAAAGGTGTAAGTGGTATTTCTTCTGAAAAAGACAGTTAAAGCAATTTTTTTGTATAATGATAATCTTTATATCTGTTACTATTTACAGATTATCTGTAATTAAAATATTTTATTCAGATACTTGCATTATCTGGATAATTAATGATATGATCTGTACAGATAACATATCTGCAGATCGCTTCTCTACATTTGACATTCCATATTCTAATGAAGATAGTCTAATCACTTGGTAGAAATCTATAGAAATAGAATCTAATTATTTATAAAAAGTTGCTTTATATATTTTATTAATTTGTCCTAATAGTGCAAGTTATGAGAAAGGATTTTCAACCTTAGGCTGGTTAACTGGAAAAAGAAGGCAAAATTTAAATGTAGAAAAACTAGAATCAATGACAAAATTGATAATATATTATAAATCAAATGCATCAAAAGAATTAGCATTTTATGGAAAGAAAATGATAGAATCAGAAATAATGAAAACAGTTTAGTTAGTACTAGCTAAACCAATTGATGATGATTATAATGATAGTACTGAATATTGAAAATCAAAATGTCTGTATTGCTTTTCAGTCAGAGGTTCTATTATAGATACTATGATTTATAAAAAAACACGCTATTTTGAATTACATGGAAATAATTGTACATAATATTCACTTCAGAATTCTTTTGCATAAAACCTAAAGTTTGACATTACCAAAAGTCTTTCTCACATTAGATCAAAACATTTTTTCACTAGAATAAGCATATGTCACATTTAGCAGATGTTCTACATGGGAAAATATTGATATCTCACACCTCGATATATCAGTCTTCATGATAGATTAAAGAATGATTGAAGAATATCAGAGACTTCAACATGTATCTCAATCAAACTTAAACTTTCCAAAATATTAAAAATTACAAAACTACATTAATAATTATATATCCTTTTATAAATTTTTATAACTATTATTAAATATGTTATATACATATATACATATTAAATTATTCGTAATCATTTTCTATATACACAAACAATTAAAATAATATTCTAAAAAAAAATACATATTAAAATATGATGATTTCTAAAAAACTCATTTCTAAAAAATGAATTTACCAAATCTTAATCTTATCTGATCTTGAAATAAACATCATATAAACTGACAATCATAATTAACCTATAAAAATTATGAATGTCTCATGGATCACCCAATTATATATGTTAGATTTTAATAATAACATTTTATTTGATAATTTCATTCTTTTTATTTTATATAATATATCTCTAATCTCAATAAAATTTATTACATGCCAATTTTTAACCTTACATTTGATTTAACTAATAAATAAGCATAAAAAAAATATTACAATATTTAAGTAAATATAATGTTTATATGATATGATAAGATATTAATAATCAAACATAAAATATCTTTAATCGCTCATTATGAAATGACTCATGTATAAAAGAAATAAGATTGATTTTAGATCACTTAAAAATCTATTACATTAATATTAAAAATGTTTGTATTGTGACTTTATCTATTAAGATAATAAAAATCTTTACAATAAGAAAATGATAAGAATATTTGATCTGATTCTATTAAAAACAAATGATAATTATTGATCAACAGATCATAAATCACAGTTTACCAGTACAATATGTATCACGAAAAGTGTAATTTTTTAGGAAGCCTTAATACTGGCTAGTTATAAAGTTATAAATGATTTTCATAATTGTATTAGTAGCTACCTAATTTGCAGATTTATTGCAACTTGTAATTTTAAATTCTGCAGTTAAAATATTATTATATTAGTAATCCTTTTTTTGAAAAATAATAAAATGTAAAAATATATCAATATTTATTTTTATATTTTTTTTAAAAATATATTAAATAAAATTAATAATTATTTAGTTTCTTATTAATTATATTTACTTTTATAAACTAATAAAACTAAAAAAATCTTTTTTAAGCAAATCAAGTCTGGTCAGATCAGATCAAATATATGAAAGATAATCAGTAGAAAAGGGGGAAATCCAAATTTTGATCAAAATTTATATTATTGGACTACTTGGCTGATCTTAGTCATGTGCATAAAATTAGCTTAATAATTAAAATTAACAAAAATTTTGGATTTTCACTTTTTCTACTGACTGCCTCCCATATATTTAATTCAGATCAATTTTATATTTAACCTAACCTGACCTGTTTAGAGCTCTAATCTCATAATATTATATAAGAATTAATCACAAGTGAATTATAAGTAAAATTAAAAGATTATATATACTATAAGTAAGATTTAAGTAATATTAATTTAATTATTAATTAATTTGCTAAATTCATTTTACATAAATATAAAAAAAGTATTATTTAATAAATGAATTTTTTTTAAAGATTTAATTTTCATATATTTTGCAAAAAAAAATTCAAATTACTTTTCAAAATTTTTAATTTCTTCATCAAAATAACTACAATGAATAATAATGCTTATCAATAAATAAAAAGCAAATAATATATATTATTATATGAAAATTGATTGGATGATCTTCAAAATATAATAAATCACCATTTTTTTGGTTTAATTAGTTTACGTTGTTTATTTATTTTATTATTTTTATTTGCTTTTTTATTTTATATTATTTATTTATTTTATTTATTATATTTAGTTTATTAAATTTATTTATTTAATTTTGTTGATGAATAATGTATTTTATTTTATATAAATTATAGCTGGAACTTTTAGTCAAAGAAAAGTATCAGTATTAGTTTAAAATAATTATTGAATAATTTATTTGATTTATTAAAAATATTGCATAGTATAGAATGCTGATGTAAGGTAGTATTTATTTGTTATTTTATATTAAATAAATAATTAATAGACATACTTTACCTAACCTTAACTATAAAATTTAACCTTCACTCTCTACTTATTACCTATATTATCTGTTTATTTATAACAAATAAATTATCTTAAAAAATTGATTGTAATACTATTTATTATTCACTTAATGATGATAATTGTAAAAATATAAGGTGAATTTTACTTGTAAAAAATTTATCAAAGATTTAGAACTAATTTTTTGGAATATAAAAGTGAAAAATTTTATAGAATCATGAAAGATTGCAAAGTAAATATTCAAAATAATAAATATATTGTTATTATTTTTTTAAAATATCAGCTTATTTTATATAATTTTTAAAAGAAAATGAAATAATTTCTTGCTGATAATCTAAAGGATTTAGAAACTAGAAATGATATTTTGTATTATAAGGAATTTAGAAGTTATTTTTGGATTAAACCAGATAAATAGTATTTTCATTTTCTTATTTTGAATCTTATTAATGAATGTAATTTAACTTCTATCAAAATTTTCAGTTATTTATATATTACAATAATAACAACATCAATAATTTCAACAGCAACAGTAGTTTTAATAACAACAACTTCAAGTATAGCAGTAGCAGCTATAATATTAGCAATTGCAATAGTTGCTAAGATAAAGGAAAAGAAAATGAAGAAAAAGAAGTAGGCGTAAGCCAATCAAAGTTGGGAAATATAATATGATAATAAATAAAGATGGTTTTTGAGTTGTTAATAATTTACTAGATTTAAACATATATATACTTTTTTGTTTCTTTTATACTTTTCTTTATAATCATATTATAATGATTATTTGTAAATAATAATTACTTTTTTTACATTTAGTATAATTTTGAAATAGAGTCAAATGCTATTTCATTTCATTTTTTTTTTAAAAAATTAATTGCAAATAAGTAGTTAAAAAACATTTTTTAATATTTTTAAGCATATAAATTTTGAAAAGTTACTGCTTTGTTACGTTGTTCAATTACTATTAAGAATATATGAAATCCTTATTTAGGAATTCTGTTAATATTTGGGTTAAAGGATAAGGAGTCATTAGGAATGTGATGTTATAAAGTATAAGTAAACGATGGGTCATAAAAGATCCAGCATGCCTTTTTAGAATATAAAAGTTTTCTACAATAGATGCAGGCCATTGAGATAGAATGGTGTATTATGATTGATAAAATACCCGGGTATATTCAATTTACTTAATTTGAAAATTGGGGTCTTAACTTGAGAACATCGTTTTGCTCTATGATATGGGTTTTTTACATCAAATCGACGTAATCGTATTTATTTAAATTTATAATTTATATTAAAATATTTATATATATATTTTTTTAAATTTTTAGTCATCTAAAGTTCTTGATATGAGTAAATTGCGGGCAGACATTACATATAATCATCGGCTTCAAACAAATATTTCACTTCCAACTGCACAAACTATAGTATCCGATGTTGAATTTTCTAAAGATAATGAAAATTTACAAGAAGTTAAATTATTGAAGAATTAGATAATGAAGATATTATTAATTTGGAAGAAGATTTTGGAAATTATCTTCAAGGATGGGCAAATATATTAGAAGAAAAAATAATGAAAACATTGAAGAAAATATTTCGAAAATATTAGTCATCCTAATACAAATGCAAAATGGGAGTTTAGTATCTCTTTTTAAAAAATTAGATTCGCCATTTTAAATAATAATTTGATTATAAATTTGAAATAATTAGTAAATAAATGAATATAATTTATTAATTTCTTTGAATATAAGTACAAATTATACATGGACACGGACTGTCCAATTTTGTCCTGTCCAATGATCAAAGTGTCCAGTTATAATACTTTGTTTAAATAAGCAAAAGTTAGCGAAATTGATAATAAAGGTATTTTCATTTCATTTCAGTTGTAATTGAGAATTTGCACTTTACATTCAAGATTTCTGAGAACTTTAAAAGGCAGGCTTTTTATCGTTTTACAAAGGTTCATATTAATATAAATGGTATTCATTAGTTAATTCACTCGTAATTTTTTTACGTATCATGGATATCAATTGTACTACCGGCCCGAATAAAAATGTACATTTTGTCAAACTCCCATAATTTAAGTTTCATAAATTTCCTCTCCACCTTCCCCTTTATTTTTTAACTTAATTAAAAAATCATGAGCAAACAATATAAACAAATAGGCGAGGAAGTATGGAAGAATCGTGTAGAGAAAATTGTAAGTGGAGTAAAAATATTTTTTAAAAAATATTTTTTAAATAGTTACTTCTAATAAAGGTAACTTTCACTTAGAACGCTGAACTGTTTACCTTGACTTATGGTTCAATTGTAGCTCAACTCGTTAAAGATTATGAGGATTATCAAGAAGTGAATAAGCAGTTGGAAAAAATGTACTTAAAATATTATCATGATTGTATAATAAATGTTGGAGTTACTATTTTTTTTTTCAACAAAAAAAAATTTTTTTTTATTATCAGGGGATATAATATTGGAGTTCGATTAATCGAAGATTTCCTTGCCAGAGCAAGTCTAGGTCGATGTACAGATTTTCGTGAGACAGCTGAAGTAATTTCTAAGGTACACATATATGTATATATTGGAGATAATTTTTTTTTATCTTTATAATTCTTACTTAAAAAAAAGAAAAAACATCTTTATTAGATTGGATTTAAAATATTTTTAAATATTACACCAACAGTAACAAATTGGTCATCAAATAACAAAGAATTTTCGTTAATTTTTGAAGAAAACCCATTAGCAGAATTTGTAGAATTACCGGAAGATGGGGCAGCGGATGAATTATGGTATTCAAATATATTATGTGGAGTTTTAAGAGGATCGCTGGAGATGGTACAAATGCAAGTTGAGTCAAATTTTATAAGCGACGTATTACGTGGTGATGATCAAACGGAAATGAGAGTTAAATTAGTTAAATATCTTGAAGAAGAAGTACCAGCTGGAGAAGATTAAATGGGAAAATAAAATATTTAATATCGTAGCGGTTATCATCATTTTTCTTTTTATTTGAATTATATTTAATTTAGATATAAGATAAAATACTCAATTAATAGAATCTATAATGTTAAAAAACGAGAAAAAAAATATATTTTTATTTTTTTATAAAGTTTCAAGATAAAAAAAAAATATATGTCTATCTAAACTTCCAATTAATTTTTATATCTAAGTTGATTGGCAGTAAAATGCGGAGGAGACCATTTTAAATTTTCTATATTGATCCTCCGTTTTCTAGATAAGGAATTTAAACTTGTATCTAACATGGCCTCAGTTAATCTAATACAAACTTGTCCTTGATAAACACAAATACCAGATTCGTATAAAGTGAAAAGTATATCGGATTGAGTTATGCTCGTTTTAGCAGTAATCTCATCTATGGTAATAAAATCCTCTCCAATTTCTTTTGTGTCCCATAAAACTTCTAGAATGGTTTCATACCAATATTGTTGATAAGACAACAATCCCAAATCTGATAAGGGCCTTTCGGGAGATCCAATTCTACCCTCGATTTTTGATAATTCATATGAAAAAGAGATCAATAATCTACCGTAACCTTTACGTTGATAAGGCGGAAGTGTTAAGATACATGCCAAATTATTTAACGTGTAATTTTTTTCCTTTGAAAAATATCCAACGATATGATACCCATATTGATCTTGTTTACACATGATATAAAAAAGGAAAGGTAATAGATCATAAGAGAGACTTTTATGATCCAAAAATAATTTTGACAATAAACATAAATTTTGACAATAAGTTTGTTGTCGAGCCCCATCAATTTCAAAAAATGAAATTTCTTCATCTCTATAAATTTCATTTCCCGGTGGATGCATTATATTACACTTTTTAATATGACGACGTAATTGAAATTCACTTATGAAATAACTTAAACAAAATTCACAAATATAAATTATAGGTGAATCATTAAATTCTTCCGGATACGGTGAAAAATACCAAGTCTCGATATGATATTCTCCAAAATGAATTTCTTGTAAATTTTTAACCCTTCTCTTATTTTGTCCGCAACTCATCGCTCCGACCGCTTCTCCTTTTGAATTCTCATTTATGAATGATGGTGTGATACTCGTGATACTTCCAGGTGAATCATATTCCGTTATCGTTGCCGGTGGTGGAGTTGAGTAATCATATGCTGAAGTAGTAGTCAATGGTGTTGTTGGAACTTTACTAACGTCTAAAGATAAATTCGTTGTCAAGGTTTTCTTTGGTGTCGACAATTTTGGTCTTTCAACAATCACGTCTCTTTTGATATCAATACGATCTTCTGATACCCATTCATCAAGTCTTTTATTAAAATCGAGAAAATGAATGTAATATTCTTGATTTCTATCATAATTGGTTCGATTTGCTAAAATCTCTCCAATACGATATTTAATTTCCCCTTTGGTATCCATATGATCGGATAATCTTACATAATATTTATTACCAATGATTATTTCACGTTCATAAACTTCTGTTTTTGTGTGTGTTTGTTTTATAGGCGTGGTTGGAATGGATTCATGTCTTACAGAATCTGGCGTACCCGTATCCGGTTCCATCTTTTGATCGTGAATATCACACTTTATCGTGGCGCAGTGGATAACAACTTTCGCGATTTTTTTTTTTTTTTTTTTTTTTTTTAATATTTTGGGGTTCCGCGTGGTATTTTTACGAAATTTTTTTTTTTAAAAAAAAAGGGAATGGAAATCGAAAAAAAATAACTTTTTATTTAATTCATTTCGAAAAGAAAATAACAAAAAAGGTGTGGGAAAATTTTAATATTGGGTTTTGGGCAACAATGAGTCTCTTATCCTAAACATGTTTATACACGTGAATTTTGATGTGCGGCACGTGACTTTGCATCCATTAACCCCATTGGATCAAAAGACATTTTATATTTTCAATCTTCCGGAATTGCACCATGAGGGACGACACCTTGATTCTCGGTTAAACTTCCCTCAACAATGTAAGTATGAGGTCCTTTCTTGCGTTCTTCCGTCACTTCATAGGCCAAGAATAAATTACATCTTGGACAATTTAATCTATATTGTTTTTCGTATCCATCGGGTCTAATTTGTGTCAAAATTACAATAATTATTATCCATTTCATAATGAAAAAAAATTTTCAAAAAAAAAAAAAATTCATCTCACCTTTTTAAAATAACTGGATTTGGTGCTTCGACCGCATTCAATTTATACACTCTTTTACCGTTGGAGACAATATAAGCTTTATCCGTTGTACGCCTAGGTAATTTTTCTAATCTCGCATCTAAATTGTCGGGTTCTTTAGAACGAAAGAGCAATGAGAAATCATTTTGACGACGTGATAATTTATTATTACCTATAACCAATATAAATTCGCTACATAAACAATAATAAACGTGAAGATGTTGTTCAGGATATGCATGAACTTGTTCCGATGATGAAACGGTTGAACTTGATACTATCTTTGGCATTATTCTGAGAACTAAAAAAAAAAGACAAAGAGTGAGCATGATGATTGGTATAGCCAGATGAGTAAATTAATTACAACATCACACCCACTAAATCTTATCTGAAGGGAATCAAACCACTTGCATCTTCACTTACACGAAGAAATCACTTCTGCATTTGCGGAGGCGGTAGAAAAGTGGGTTTATTTATACAAATTTTTCAAAAATTTTTGGAATGATGATCCTATTGCATAATCATGTTCAACAAAGAATTTATCAATGTAAATTATAAACAAAGGGGTACTAGATTCGACCCTTGGCAATAAATTAAGAAATAACCCTTCCCGGAAAGTTATTTCAAAAAAAAAAGTGGGTACTATTATTAGCTTATCTTGATTGGCCAGATCTTTGAACTTACAAATCTACCATTACAAATTCGAATTACTGAAATTTCGACGGGTACAATTTTATAGCGATCTTCCAAATTTAAAAAAAAAATATTACAACGAAAGAGTTTAATTATTTGATTCAATAATTGTTGATTTTTAAGAGTGGATTAACTAATTTAAATGAATTTTGTTTTAACCTAGATAATTTTGTGTTGAAAAAAAATTTATCTCGGAAATATCCTCAAAAAAAAGTCCTAATAATAATGAAAAAAATTTTTTTGGTGAAAATAAGATACAAAAAAAAAAAGAAGTGAAATATATATAAGAAAAAAAAAAAGAAGAATAAATTCAAATATATATATATATATATGTATAAATGTATGTATATTATATATATAATAAATCGAAACTAATATTTATAATTACACAAGAAAAGGAATAAATAAATAAATAATCAAAATAAAACAACTTTCTACCAGTGAAATTATGCCGAATAAAGGCTCCTAAAAATTATATATTGATTTAATCAAAATTTAGCCAACCAACAATATTATACACAACATTTCGTATCAACAATGTAAGTTCCGTTATGCCTATTGTACTGTATTTCATTACTGCCAAGGCAATCATCACTAAAGATCGCAATAAATATATGATTAGAAAATATTTAAAAGTTTATAAGTTTATAAGGAACAGATGACAAGTGAAAAACATACCAAAAAATACTGGTACCCAGAATAAATACAACATTCTATCTTTCTTTAATCTTTTATATTTTTCATCATGATGTTCCACACGAGCAATTTGTTCTTCATTCAAGGAACTAAGATCATATCCAACCTTGCGACTTACACGTGAAATAGAAGCAGGCGGTGATGGTGATGGAGCACGAGGTTCTTCAGGTTCATGATGATACATTGGCACAATTGGTTGCGATCCATAAAATGGCCAACTATAACCAAATCTACCAAATCCTTGACCAACTTCTTTTGATGATTGTTCTCGCTGTTGATCAGGTTGACCTTGTCTAAGCCATTTATTCTTGTAATATTGTGCCGTATTCATTTCACTCATGTCACCTCCATTAGCCATATTCTTTTCATCCCTTACAAAACTTGTAAATCCACTGGGTATTATAGCAGGAAAAGTTACCATTGGCAAAGTTGGAAATTCAATATTCATGTTAAGTGAAGGCATTGATGGCATGGAAGGTCTCGGAATTGATAAGTTGGTGCCAAAATTCATGGTTGAAAACTTTGGAGAAGAAAAGTGTTGTAGGTACGGCATTTGTAAATTGGGCATTTGAAGATTAGGCATTTTAAGGTAGGGAAGTGGAATGTTAATCTGAGAAGGTTTGCCTATAGTTGGCATATGCATGTGCGCAAATGTTTTTTGGAGCCAAATAGTAGAAGCAGAAGCTAAATCGGTGGCCATCTCAGAGAAAGGTTGTTTAATGTTCTTTTTATCAACCACTTCCGCATTTACGATTCCATCATCCTCTTCCGATTTGTTTAGTAATAAATCGTTAGCGGTCGCCGAATCTACCCAAGAAATGTTTGGTGTTGTTTCTTGATTTTGTTTATCGTTAATGGATTCTTCCGTTTGTTCATTCCATTTCTCTCCAGATTCATCTTCGCTGTCATCCAAATCATCATCAGATCCGTATAAAGAAGATTGTTCGGATGATGATGATGACAAAGATACCCCAGAATCGTGTAAACGATGATCATTGATAATTGCGACAATGTCATCGAAATTTCGAGATATGGCTAGATCAATAGCATATTGATCGTTGAAATTGGGAATGATATCTCCAGAACCAGCTATAATATATTAATAATATCCAATTAGATATACCATTTAAAACTTGACCGATTAAAACAATACTAACCTGTAATAAGTATTCTCACAATCTCTTCTCTTCCTGTCCATGCTGCATAATGAAGTGCTAATGGAAAAAATTTAAAAGGTTAATCTAATTTCATAAAGGTTTTCGTTTCAACTAAATATATATATTTTTTTTAAAAATGCCTACCAGTAAAGCCATATTTGTCCTGTAAGTTCAAGTCAATGTCTCGATCAATTAACACAGAGCACAATCTCGTGTAACCCAACATTGCCGCTATATGCAGCATCGTATGTTGTTGACGATTTTGTAATGAAATACTATCATGCTCTGTTTCTAGTACATCTAATAAACTTATTGTTGTTATAATATGTGCCTCGAAATTGTTTTCTCCTGCTTGACGAGCAAAAGATGCCAAATGATTGTGCATTCCATTCATACTTCCATTGCCATTTGAATTACCAGAATTACTGTTATTATCATTGCCGCCAACGATGCGCATAGCAATGTTACGTGCATCTTCTATCTTTCCGGTCATCTTCATCCCTACGACTTGTAGAGCTAACTCCATTAAAGCGCGATCAGAATCTAAAATTTAAAAAATTTAAATTTAATATTATTAGACGATTAATAAAATAACCATAAACGATTTGTAGGAAAAGAAAATACCATCAGTGTAAGAGAAAAGAACAACTTCTTCTGGATTTTCTATCAAGTTTATAGGATATTCTTTGAAACTCACAACGACAGCACCTGGAGTTGGAGCTGGTGGTAAAATGCAAACCAAGGTATTTGGGGACCAATATTGTGTTGGAATTGCTGGACTTTCACCGAAAACACAAGTCAGTCCCTCTAGTAAATAAATGGAAAATGGATGATTGATGTGTGAGTAATAATCCTAAATGACGATCCAAAAAAAAAAAAATATAAAAAAACTATACAAACCAAAAAAGTTGCTTCCTAAAACGGTCACCTCAATGCCACCATAAGTGGGACCCTCGGAAGGAATCAGCCTGCTCATCCTCGGTATTGGGTATCCACTAATTGTACCATTTTGATAAATAGCATTTCCAGAAGTGTTATAAAATGGTCTTCTTAGGATTTGATTGGAATGGTGAGAAGCATGCAAGCGCATTGGACCTCCACCATGATGAGCGGCTGAGATATTATATCTATTGTGAGCGCCAAGATTTTGATGTAATTGTGCAGCTTGGTAAATGGGATTCATGTTGTTAAGTGATGTGGGTGCCATAGATAAGTTCATCATAGCAGCACTATGAGATACCACAGGGAAATTCACTTGTGGGCCTGAAGTAGCCAAATTTGTACTTTGATCAAGCTGTTGATAAGGTTGACTAGAAGTATTTTGAGGATTTGAGGTATTGTGTAAATTTGTTGTGATAGGAATAATGGGTGACATTGGTGAAATCGGTGATGCGGGGGAAGATGATGGATTGAATCCAAATGGCTGAACTTGTATCCGTTGTCGGGAATTATTGTTTTTTTCTTGCTTAATCGTTGATTGTTGTGATGAAATCGATGCGATCAAGCTAGAATTTTGTGTGGGAATAATGGAAACTGGAGACGAAAGTCCTCCAGTAGGTTCTGAAGATGGTATTATTGATAAGGATGGTGGCGTGGATTGATCATTCGTACCGGTTGATGACGCACGTCTTTCGCTGGCTTTGCTTTTTGTAGAATTTATGGGATTGTTCGCTGTAGTGGAATTTCGACGATCATATTCAGCTCTTGGTCGTTTTCTTCCAACACCAACTTTTGTTTTTGATGACTTGTGATCATCAGTTATCATAATAGGAGGTGACATGCCAGTTGCAATGATAGCATCAGTACAATCTTTCATTACAAAGTAAATGCTACATGATATTATGTGAGTTAGTAAAATTTTAATTAGTCATTATATAAATAAATTAGTAAATTGAAGAAAAGGAAAAATCTTTATTTATTATACACACCAGAACCCAACCTTTTCATTATGATGTCGACAATAACACGTGATTCTTGTTGGTAAAATAGTATCACCGCTGCTAAAATCTACGATCTCACTACAATTGAATAATAGAATTTTGCGTTGCTCCAATTGCATTGTCTTTTCATCATCTAAATCCATCGGCTTATTAGAGTCCTCGACCTGTGGCGCAGCAGCGTTTGAATTTGCCTTGGCGTGCCTGTTTTCTTTTTTGCGCTGAGACCTCTTTCGCTATCATATTAAATTAGTGAACATAGACGCAAATAAAATAAAAAATATTTTACACAACGAATTATGGTCATTATTAATCCTTTTAATTCTTTTCAATATGTATATGTACATAGCGATTATTGAATTACACCTTACCTCTCGTTGAACGCAACCCAGACAAGTAAGAACTTTTTTTGGTATTTCACTCGCGCAAACCACAGTTGCCTCTAAATTTAGCACACCTTTTTCTAAGATATTCATTTGATCCGGTGGATTCCGTGCGTTTTTAGTTTTAAGTTTTTCTTTAGCAACCATATATTCGGGCAAGCGTAAATGTGACCATAATGGTACTTTTTCTCCTTTATCCGTGACAAGTTGTAGACATAATTTGATTTGTGTTTCTACACGGGATTTGGCACCTGTTTGTGGGACTCCGAGAACATGAATCTGTAATCTAAATTTAAATATAATTTAGTATTAATGATTATGTAATATACAAATAACAACAAAAAAAAAAAAAAAAAAAAAAAGAGCCCAACCCTTTATCGCTGATATCCTGAATATGACATTGCCGATCTGATTGTGGAGATGTAACACTTTGTTCTCTAAGAGAAATATTTTATACCCATAGTATTAGTAAACAAATTTTTTTTTTTGCAATTATTAATGGCAAGATAAAATAAGTACAACTTACATGCTATTATCATCAGATCCATTCATATATTCTAGGTAGCTCACATTTTTTTGTGTAAAATTTGTAACGCTTTGTGAAAATGTCGGGGACATGAACTATTGAATGAATTAAAAAGGAAAGGTTTCAATTGAAAATTTCTTATCCGAGTCAGAGACGTTGAATTTTTGAAAGAAAAAAAATAATAAAAAAAGATATGAAAAGACAAACATTATTTAGAGATTGCTGTTGAAGGTCAGTAATGGACACAGGGTTGAAAACGGACTGGTGAACATGGTGATCTTGTTGTACCGAAGGTTGAAGCTCTCTTGTAGGCGTTTGTTGAGGAGTCATAAAGAAAAGAGGAGTATTTGAGTCTAGTACTTCTAGCTTTGGATCCAGTAAAGTCGAAGGGTTATACAAGTTATTCACTGAAAAGTCGTCTGACGCCGGTGAATATGGAGAGTCGCAATTATTTTCCTCAGAAGAGGACGGCATATTATCTTGCATTGGTAAAAGGTTATTCATTGGCATTATCGAATGTCGTCTTTAAGGGGGAAAAATAAGTATACACTTTTTCGATAATTATTTTGGTAAAAAAGTATATTTATGATGCATCTACCACAAAGTTTATATATAATATCCAACAATTTTTTTATCTATTGAAATGCGCGTAGTTTATATTATTATTATCTTTTATAAATGTAATAGGTAATGCCTATTTTTTTTTTCTCTAGAAAATTGGTAAATGGTCATCTGGTTTTTTTTTATTTACCTGTCGGACTTTTATCGGTTACCTTGAATATTTATATTACCTCAAATATGAGAGTACGGAATTCCCTTATTGAGAAATATTAGTCACATGGCATGCAGTCTGAATTCATTAAAAAAGAAATTCTTTTTGGCGATTTCAAGGGATCGAAAATAGAGATTGACTCATATAACATGCTTCAATCTTTTTAAATTATTTATATTTTGTATCAGCATATAAAATTTGAACGAAAAATTTCAAATGTCAAGTTGACCTTTCAAATGGCATCTTCCCTTGGAAATCATTGATTGGCATAATTAAGATTTTCGTAGAATATATTCGAAAAAAAAAAAAAAGTTATAACGGACTTGGATATTTTTTTTTTTTTTTCTTTTCCCTATCGCGAATTATATAATATAAAATTAAAAAGGTTGATGTCGTTTATACCAAGTTCAAAAGTTTTTTAAGTAACGGTTCAAGGCTGAAAATTTTTTTGATGCTTTATGGTTGCAGGAAATGTAACAAGATTAAACACTAGTTTGCTTTTTTTGTTTTTTTTTCTGTAGTCATGATGCAATTAACTTGACTTTAAAACTTCGTTATTTACAAAGAATGTTTCAAATTTGGAATGATTTAGGAATTTATACCGGCATCTAACAACAACGTAACCTAAAGCATAAATTAGAGTTGATCGAACGATTTTAGATTTATTTTACTGTATCCAAAATACATGAAATAATTAAGATTAATATAATAAAAAAGGGATTAAAAAAGAATTTAAGATCAATCAAAAAAAAAAGAAAGTCAAAAAATTTTTAGATTATCATTTTTCTTTATAATGTTAAAATAAATCAAATATTCTTGGTTTTTTTAAAAAAAAAAAAAGAATCTTCTTTTTAAATATCAAGTGCAACACGATTTGATGATGTTCTTAACGAATTAGAGATATCTGAAACCAAAAGTTGTGCCAAAATCGGCAAAATTTTTCACTATTTCGAAGACAATGTAATTTCTTCAATACAAAATCTCTTTTCAATAAGGAACTACTAAATTTGCTTATATATGTACAAAACACAGACATTCTAAAAATCTCCGAATAAAAAAAAAAAAAAAACTTGAAATTTAATCAAACGGAAACATAAAGCTGCCCAAGAAAAAGTAAATCTCCGTTCCGAACTCCGATTTTGATTAGGATCAGCTGCCTCTCTTTTTTTTTTTTTTTTTTTCCTATTTTTTCCTCCTGAGTAAATAAAAGCCACAAGTTTTTTTGAGCCAATAAACTAAGTTTTGCCCGATATAATTTTTTCAATTATCGAGATCTTTTAAACATTATCTTTCCTTAAAATTACTATTGAAAAAATACCTTTTTTTTTTTTTTTTTTATATATATTTGAAAGAGTATTTCTTACGACGGTTTAACGAAAAGCAATGTAAGATTACTGTTTATATTTATCCATCTCATTCTTTTCATAAGGTAATTTTTTAACCTTTAATTTATAATTTTTTTTATGCGAAACGAAGTCTCTAGTTCTAACAAATTTTGTGTAGTTTCACAGCTACGTGCGACTGAAATAATTTATTATTCATATTCATTTTAATCATAAAAAAACCGGAAATATAAAGTTTGCTAACACTATGACGAGTAAAGGAAATAGTAAAACTACACAACGAAAGGGTAAGCCAAAGAAACAAAGTACGGCAACCAACAAAAAAAAAGTGGTTGATACTCACGTGAAAACGTCTTCCAAGGTTGAACAAAAGTCATCGAAACAGGTCGCGAATGATATTTCTCTTGTAAAAGGAAAAAGTAAACTCTTGAAAAAAGGCGTAAAAAGAAAAGTCGAAGATATCGAGGCCTATCAGGTCTTACAACCGAAATTGTCTCTAAAAGTTGGGTGTACACATCTAAAAGAGTATAAAGAGAAAAACCCGGATACGTATCTGAACAACTTCAGATCCATTGCAGAGCTATCAATGCGATGGTACAAATTTGGTATTCCCAAATCAAACAAGACAAGTATACAGTTGTTCAAGCACCAAAAATGTTCAGCTTGCAATCTCAAGGGAAATCGATTACACGCATGTCTTGATTGCGTGTTCATCGGTTGCTGGCGTGACAGATATCATGCCCGTTTACATTACAAAAACTCTAATCATATCTTTGCAACAGATGTGCGAAGATTAGAAATATTTTGCTTCAAATGCAATGATTATATATATGACATTGACTACGACAATGTCAGGAAACATGAAGAGGTTCGCGCTGAAGAGAGAGTGTCCGATATCAAGGAACCCGCCAGGAAACGAGCGCGGTACATACCTTGGAAACCAGACGAAGAGGAGGCGAAAAAGATCGAAAGGAATTCATCTCCCTTTCCTTGCTCAGGCTTGAGAGGTCTTCTTAACATGGGTGCGACATGTTTCATGAACGCCGTACTACAAACGTTCATGCATAATCCGATAATCAAAAACTACTTCATGACGGATAAGCATAACATGAAGATATGTGGGACCTCGGGATGTATGTGCTGTGAAATAGATAACCTCTTTCAAGAATTTCATTCTGGAGAGAAGAAGCCATATCCTCCGTGCAGCTTTTTACAATCAATGTGGCTTAGTTCTAAGCATCTTGCTGGCTATTCCGAACAAGATGCTCATGAGTTTTACTTGGCCGCTATTGATAAGATGCACGGTGACTCGCATGAGACCAAACATCAGGGATTAAACGCAAACATTCAAAATTGTGGGTGTATTATGCACAAGACATTTGGTGGTTGCTTCCAATATAGAAGAAAGTGCTCTCAATGTGGCATGTTCTCAGATCGGGAGGAACATATGGTGGATTGGCAGTTACATCTTCGCGGCCTTGTCACCAATCAGAAAAAGAAGAACGGTTCCAAAGCTTCGCAAGAATCTAATGTCAATGAGATGGATGTTGACAAGAACAGCCTCGAAGACTGTCTTGATAGATATTGTGAGAAGGAGCAACTGCCTGAATATAAGTGTGAAGATTGTGTAACTCGATTGACAAATGATCCATTTGATGAGATCGTAAATTCATGTTCAAGGACGACAACTTGTAAGAAGTTACCTCCAGTTTTGACGTTCGTCGTTGAACGATTCCATCGTACTTCAACGAATACGATTAAAAATGAGGCAGAATTTGAATTTCCTGAGGAAATCGATATGGCAAAATGGACTAGTCGTGGTCATGATATCCTTGAAAAAGGTGGAACTTTGAATGATTTGCCGAGTTATAAATATAATTTGCTTTCTGTTGTTAATCATGAAGGCAGACTTGACACGGGTCATTATACGGTATATTGTAAAAGTCGTGACAGGTGGTTCTTGTTTGATGATCATGCAGTGAAATGTGCAAGCGTTGAAGAAGTTTTGCAAAGTAGGCGTAAAGCATACCTTTGTTTTTATGTTGCTGATACTTTGGAGTACGATCAACCTCGACCAATAAATGCTAAAAATTCAAACAAACGATGACAATTTGGAATATACATATCCTTCCTTATATTGAACAATCGTGACGTTTTAACGTCGAAAAAAATTTTTTTTTATAGATTATATAATATAAATATATATATATATATATATTTTTTTTTTTTATTTTTTTTTTTATGTGGCAAGGATTAATTTTATGAAGATGTTTAGTGGGAAGTTGACTCCTTGCATTAATGTTATAATTGATAGAGGAAGTATTCAGTATATTAAAATATTATTAATACTTTCTATGTCTTTGATGGATTTAATTAAAATATTAACGTCTGTTTATATAAACTTTATTTTTTTTTTTCCCAATAAAAATTTTTCGCTCATTCAAAAAAAAAAAAAAAAGACATAAATGTATTATTATATGATTTATTGCGGTACAAAATAAACTAATTAATTAGTGCGTATCTTAAAATATTACAATGTATGGATAAAAATATTTTTTTAAAAAATGATTATGAAATGTATTATTGAATTAAAAGAATAAATAAATGATGAAAATTTTAATTATTATAAACCCAATTGACATTTCTTTCATCATCAATTACACCAGTACGATGATAATATGTTTTAGATCGAATATAAGGATCTAAATCTAATTGAGATTTTCTTAATTTAAGTTTTAATTGATCCCTCTCTCTAATTATTTGATCATTATTATGACCTTCTATCAACTTTTTAGTTATCAATTCAAATTCATTTTCTAATTTGGTTCGAATTTCCATCAATTCCTCTTTCTTTATTTTATCTACCATTTTATAATTTTCTTCATCGGTAGCATGTTTATATTCATATTTCCATTTATCTTTACCTCCCAAATCTTCAAGAAGATGCTCAGGGGGTATAAAATTCGTAAGTTCTTGTTCAGTTTTAGTAAATCTAATTTTTGATGCCACGACCGGATCAAGTAATGGTGATATGACTTTCCAAACTTGAGAGAAAACCCAAGGGGCTTTATGGATAACCAATATTCCTAAGCTCTCTGGATAATATGCCTCAAAGCATTGAATCATGAATTTGATATATTGTAAATCCTACAAGAAAAAAAAACTTCTCTTGGTGAATTACTTGAATCGATCAATGCTCTTTACGTATTTTGAACTTTTGATCTTACCATATTAGCTATACTAAATCCTTCCATATTAAAGATGAGACAACCCGTTTCAACTGGAGGTTCGATCATCAGACGAACGGTCTCCATAATATAAACCGTAAACCTTTGAAGAATCTCAAGATTTTGATCAGATTTCTTATGAGCTTTAACATTTATGTAACTATGATAATGTAAATCAGATGATTAGAATTATTATTATTTCTTTTTTTATTTCATGGTGATTACTTTTACAAAATAAAATGTACCTACACTATTGGTCTACTTTCATAATCAGTCCCTCTAACAAAACTTTTTCCACTTATAAATTGGGATTTTAATCCTTTAACACCTCTATCAGCAAAATACTTTTCCATACCTAATTCACCACCTTCAACAATTGCTCTAACATCGATTTGTAGTCGCCATTTTAAGGAAGAAACTAACATAGATATAGCATTTTCAACATCCCATTTTCTTGCTCTAAGAAAACGTAGTAATAAAACGTCGGGGTCGTCAGCGCCAATTAATAACCAAGAAGCTTGACGTAAAGCTTCCGGACTATATATTTTCATAGCAGACATGCATTCCTCAGATTCATTATATTTATCATAATTGATTTTCATACCATTTTTTGGCTTATTTTTTGAATCACCATTTCGGAAACGGGAAGTTTCTCCTTCGTTTGTGTTTTGTATAGCATACATAGCGGCATAACATTTTCGTAATAATGCAAATTGTTCTTTAGTTAGTGTACCAACATGACCAGACTTTGGGTCTTGTTGCTGTTGTTTTAAAGCAATTGCGGTACTCATTTTGAAAGAATGGAGGTAAAAAAAAGGGTAAAGAAAAAGAGTGAAAGAATTTGTATTAAATATTTGTTCAAGGAATGAAAGAATGTATAAAATAATTTAGAATTCAATTTCGGAAGAATGTTTACATACACAAAAATAGTCAACTTGTGACCTGAAATTTATCGATGAGTTCGTCGATCTCTTCGTAAGTAGAATTCCGCGGAATTTTAGCACTGAAATCCGGATTTTATGAATAATATAAACTTGTTCAAACTTGTATATATATTATTTATAATTTTATTATTGTTGTTTTTAGAATACAGGTCATCAAGCATGATGACATTTATGAAGTTATTTTACAAAAAATAAAAGATAAATATTCGAGTTGGTTTAGATTATTTACGAATTTTTTTTTAATACTTTTTTGATGATTCCTTTTCAATAATTAATAGTATGATAATACCTAATGGTACCTAATTTTTTTTTTTAAAAAAAAAAAAAAAAAAAAAAATGATAAAAATAATAATAAAAATAATAATATCATCAAACCATTTTTAGAGACACTAAAATATACAAGAGATCAGCTTATTCATTCACATTGATATCTTTAAATACTTTCCAGGAACGAGAGTAAAAAAGAATTTAAAAAAGATATCGGAAAAAAGGATCTGAATAGCTGAAATTAAAAATTTTGTTTTTTAAAGACGAACGATATTTTTTACAAAAGAAAAAAAGAAAAAAAATTTTTTTTTTTTTTTTTTATACATTCTTTCCCTCCCCCCTTAGGCAGCGGCAGCATAATATCCAGATAAATAAATATTCCCATTTGCTTCCTGACCTAAACATTCTTTAACTAATAATCTCTTCAACCTTTCACAACTCGTTCTACAACCTGAGCTTGCTGCTCTTTCAAACCAATGTGTTGCCCCTTCAAGATTAGCATCACAACCGATTCCTTTCTCAAGAGCATTAGCAAGATGATACATGGCTGTAAGGTGATCTTGTTCAGCAGCCTTTAGGAAGTTTTGAAATGCAGTTTCTTCATCTTTTTCACATCCGATGCCTAATTGAAGACACACCCCAAGCTTATCTTGAGCTCTTGCGTGATTTTGTGCAGCTGCTGCACGATACCAACAAACCGCCTTAACCTCATCCTTTTCTACTCCGATACCGTTTGCATAACAGAATCCCAAATTACATTGTGCCCATGGGTTCTGCGCGTTGGCAGAAAGTTGATACCAATACACGGCTTTCTTTTCATCCTTCTCAACGCCTAGACCCTCTTCATAGCAATACCCTAAAGAATTTTGAGCCAATGCATTACCTTGTTGTGCAGCATATGTAAACCATTTGACAGCCTCTTGTTCGTCTTTTTCTACTCCAATTCCATTACGGAAACAATATCCAAGACTTAATTGAGCCGGTGCATGACTTTCTTCAGCAGATAAAAAGTACCAATATACTGCATCACTTTCATTAACAGCAACACCGATACCATTTTGATAACAATATCCAAGCGAATGATAAGCAAAAATGTTGCCACGTTCAGCTGATTTTGTGTACCAATTTACTGCTTCAGTTTCATCTTTTGGTACACCAATCCCATTTTGATAACAGAAACCAAGATTATGTTGGGCACGGGCATGTCCCTGAAGGGCTGCTTTTTTGTACCAAAAGGCGCCCTCAACGTCATCCTTGGGAACACCAATACCATTCTGGTAACAATACCCGAGATTACATTCTGCCCATGGATAACCTTGTTCTGCCGATTTACGATACCATTTGGCAGCTTCTACGGGATCTTGATCGACACCGATTCCATCTTCGTAACAATAACCCAAAGAATTTTGGGCAAAAGCATTTCCCTGTTCAGCAGATAAACGATACCATTTAACAGCTTTGACTACATCCTTTTCCACTCCGATTCCGTCTTCGTAACAGTATCCAACATTGTAAATCGCAACAGATTCGCCTTGTTCTGCTGCCTTTCTATACCATTTCATTGCTTCAACCTCATCTTTCTGTACTCCAAACCCTTCACCATAACAAAATCCTAAAATTCCTTGACCACGTGGGTGACCTTGTTCTGCTGACTTTTTGTACCATTTAAAAGCTTCTGACTCGTTTTTTTCTACACCCACTCCATCATGATAACATACTCCTAATGAATACTGGGCAGCGGGATGATTTTCTTTACATGCTGCGTAAAATAGCCAAGCAATGGCTGTCTTTCCTTGGTCTTTAACTTTTTGTTGCCACATTTCTGCTTCTGCACGGTTGATATGGACCGTAGGACGTCCATATTTTCTTAAAAATGCAAGCCTAGCTTGTGCCAAACCATTGCCATGTTGGGCAGCAGGGATATAATTTAATTCGGCTTGTTTAAAGTCCTTTTCAATTCCCAAACCAAATTCATAACAGAATGCCAATACCCCTTGAGATTCCGGATGCTTTAACGAGGCAGCACGTTGGAAAAATTCGAAAGCTTTCTTTTCATCTTTAGGTTCCCCAGCACGTCCAAACAAATATGTTTCACCCTGCCTATAAAGGTACTGAACGTCTTGATCTTGATGACAAGTTTTGTTAGTGCTATTACTACCGCTACCGCTACCGCTGTTGCTACTTCCGAAAGTGTATCTCTTGTTTAGTTTAGACACCAACTTTTTCGATCGGTGCAAAAAATGTGCCGCGGTTTGTGAAATAGGATGAACTGCCATTATATATTATTCAATATTACGGGTATTCAGAAAATCGAAAAAAAAAAAAATGGTGAATAAAAGATAGATGTAAAAAGATATTATTGTATTGCGCAAATTTCACTAAATAATTTTATATATTGTCTTGATTTGCAAATTGGATAAATATACCAAATGACTAAACTACGGATATATAATATAATAATGATAATATATTTTCTATATAATGATCTATTGAGGATCTATACAATATCTTTCTAGGTATACTTGGCATAAGTGAGCGAGCATAAACGATGCGCTACGCAATTTTTAGAATTCCTAGAATTTCTGTTAACGATAAAAGATACAGAAAAAAAACCGAAACAAAAAAAGCAAAAAAAAAAAAATTTGTTAAGGTCCACCAGTGAGTTAAGATTGATTCATTCTTTTTCATAAATTTATTTTTTACCTTTTTGCCAAGAATCACGCGAGAGAATTAGAGAGTGAATGACTACTATAATTTGATTGATAGGTAGTTGTGTAATGCCCGAGAGAAAAGGTAAACGGAAGAGTATAAATAAAAACGCAGTGGTTTTTTAATACATTAAAAAAAAAAAAAAAAAGACTTCACTTTTAGTAACAAAGACGCATTCCGGAAAGAAAACAGAGAAAAAAAATTCTTTTTTATTGCCAATGTAAAGCAACTTTGACAAATTTTACCTTAAAACGTATACTTAAGGGAGTCAATAGGGGATCTTAGAGCAGTAGATACGGAAACCTTAGGGTATGATGAGTGAACTATTACAGATGGTTTATTACTCGGTTATTAATTTATTTATTTGTATTATATTACAGAGGGTTTTACTTTTTAAGTTTACTTATTTTTCTTTGTTAAGTTATTGGGGAAATGATTTTTTTTATATTCGTTTCAAACTAAGGGTAGAGAAAAAAAAGTCGTAATGAATTTTTATAAAAATTTTTTTTAGCAAGAATTCGTTAGAATATATTCATCACCTTTTTTGATGTTTTATTTTAAAAAAATTTGTGTATTTCTTTATACAAAGAAAAATTTTTTTTTTATTGTCGTCGAGGAGTGGCGGCGGAGTCTGAGGGGAATGGATGAATTTCAACTGTGTAAATTCATTTCACCGATAAAACTCATTATTGTTATTCATAAACCCTTTATAATCCCGATATGTTCCGTTATATAATTAATTTCGGAAAAAATTTGATTGGATTATGCATTATGCACTTAAAAATCAAGTTCCGCAGTAATTGAAGGAACCGTTTGCGAATAGAACGGGTTGCATAAAAGTTTTGTTGCGGATTTTCATCAAACTCACTAACGACATTGTCGATCCATCGGTTGAGCTTATAGACAACGCAGAGGAAACTTTCAGATTATAAATATGGCTGCAAATCCGTACGATCTAGATCCCGAGGTTCAAGCAATCTTAAAAATTGAAACTTTTCAGGTACAAATTTCAAATTTAAACTACTACTTTTCTGAATTTATTTTTTTGAAGATTCACGTTTTATTAAATTACTTGCTCGATTTAATGATAGCATGGAAAGTTTACTACCAAAGAATTTGTTGAAAACACGTCAAAAAACCTGTTGAAACAAGCCAACCCGAGAGGTTGGTTCAAATATCTAAGTTTTTGATGTTGAGTATCCTTGGGTGTTAATTAAATGATTTCTTTGTTAGCCTTTGATCCTAAACCATTTATAAGAACATTTGAAAGATCCATTGATGAACTTATGAAACTTCGAGATTCAGTTAATAAAGAGAGTAAAGATTTGGAAACTAGTATGCAGCTCATAGAAACCGGACATCGAAAAAAATTAGTCGAGCTTAAGACTACCTTTGAAGTATAATATTTTTGGGGGGGCTAAATATCAAGATTGTATAGTAAATTAACAGATGATTTGATTATAGGATGTTGTTCACTCATTTGAAACTTTGGAAACAAGAATTAATGAAGTGGGCAACACTGCAATCAGAATTGGTACTATTTATATTTTATGATTCGGCCGGAAATATACTTGGTAATAAATGTAATCAATAACAACGATTTATCATTCAAGGGGAGCAACTGGAGACGATTGATAGGCAGAGGTTGCGCGCCTCTGAATCTAAAGAATTGATTGAATATTTTATGGAATTTAATAGAGGCGATATTGCACAATTGGAGGATTTGCGGACTCGAGGAGGAAAGGAAGGACAGTTTAAAGTAAGGTTTCTATCAAATGAATGATATGTCATTGATAAGTTTTAAAAGTTTATGTTGGGACAATAGGCTGCAATTATAGCTAGAAGATTGAATGCTATTGCAAAAGAAGTAGATATTCCTGGAGGTGAATTTGTGAGTGTTGATGATAATCATTGTTTATGATTCTTTTAATAGCATATTTTACCCGTCTAATCATTTACCAAATGTTAGGCTAGATCGGGCATTGAGAAATATTGTGAGGATTTGGAGAAAGAGTTGCTTGAACAATTTGATAAAGCATATAGACGAAAAGATGTTAAAGTTATGCAGGTTTGTAAGTTATCTTTTTGATTATGAATTACGCCTTCATATTAATTATGATCCTTTTTTAGCATTGTGCAAAAACTCTCCAAGAATTTAACGGTTGTGAATCTTGTATCAAATTATATGTCAATCAACACGAGTTTTTCATTACAAAAATAAATTTGAGTCAAGCAAATGGATTTTTGACAAGTTCAAGGTAATTCTTTTTTGATTATGGTTAAATTAATAATGATTTCGACATAATCTCGACCAATTTAACGAAACTGTAGTTTTGCATCTTGGAAGTTGGACTGATTTACCAAACCCTGAAGTATCGCCACCACCGGTCGACCAAGGACTTGTCGAGCTTTATAAGGAGATTAGAACAACTGCCAAGCAAGAAGCAGAAATTATAAATGTCGTTTTTCCAAATCCTGTTAACGTTATGCAAGTATTTTTGCAGCGTATATTTGCTCAATTGGTATGTAATGAGTTTATTTAAATAGTTTAGACAGATATATCATCTAATTCTTTCTTAAACAGATTCAAACGTACTTGGAAAGTCTTTTGACGCATGCAGAAAATGATTCTACGTTAGCTTACCTACGTTCGTTAGCAGCTGTTCGCACTGCTACAATAGAATTAGTTGATGACATGAAAGGTCTTGATATGAGACAAAAAGGAGATTCTAATATAACCCCTTCCGAAGTAATTGAGGAAGGTTCTCGAAAAAGTAATACGGTTGCAGAATTATTGGATCAATGCGTTGAAGATTTGTTCGTTCCGTATACTGAGGGTGACCGTTATATTGAAAAAGAGAAGAAATCCTTAGGCGAATTATATTCATCCTTGCTATTACAATTCAATGCTTATCATGTAAGTGAATAAATTTGTAGCTTGACATTTTAAATTTTATTGTTAATTAATAATTATGTATGTATTTTTATTAGATTCAACAAAGCAAAGCCCACGCTGGAAGCTTGTTTCAGCGCGCTGTTAATCAGATAACATCATCTTCCTTGCCAAACAACTATGGCGGGAGAGATATTACTGATATATTGACCACAGAAGAGGATGGAAATTTATCTATAAATACAGCCATGCTGATATTTAAAATCCACGCTGAAGCAATAAGACGTTCTGTTAAACTTAGTCCTCCTAATGAATTGTATCTTGATATTATTATTTCTTCCTGTAAATTAAACTTGTAAATGGAATTAAAAATTATAACCAAATTTTTATTTTATTTCCAGACCCAAATTTACGAGTGTATTGTTCCAAGTTTTGTTGGACAGTATTGGCAAACAATATTTGGACATCGCCTTAGACACGTAAATAATTTCTGCGTTGAGTTTTTATAATATCCATTTCAATTCTTAATTCTTTATTTTTCTTTATTTTGTAGTTCTTTAGATCAGATCGTCGCCATGGATTCAAAGTCCGAGCCTGATTTTAAACCTTTGTCAGTAATAAAGCTCGCAAAAGACATTATATATATTGCTCAAAATCATTTTCAATCAGCAATTGTAAGAAGTTAATTGATATTTTTATATATAATTTACGTACATTTTATTCATTCCTGTTTATTATATAGCTTCCTTTGGCCTCTCCATCGTTGACTATACACCGAGACCTTACTTCGGATAAAAATAGATTTATGATGGGAGTGGAAAACAAAATAAATTCGGCTGTACAAAAGATGATCGACGGTAATTATATTTTGATTCAACCCGTGAACTTTACAAGGATCAACTCTAAATCATGTATCTATTATATAGTCATTATTGCAAGGTTAAATTTCTTATTATCACGACAGAAGAAAGTAGAATTCAAGCCAAAAGATGAGGATGATATAATCGCTAGTTTGGCGACAATGGTGTGTTGTATATATTATCAAAAAAAATATTTTTTTTTTCTTTTTTTGACTTTGATTAAAGAATTATTTATGATTTTTTTATAGCCTTGTAACAATTGTGTTGAATGTTTGAAAAAAGTACATTCATCAATTAATCAGTTTCTTGATGGCAAAAATCTGGAATATGTTTTGATTGAAATTGGTGTAGCATTTCACAGGTATTAAATCTATAATTATGTTATTTAACTTGTTATTTGATCTTAAACTGATTGTAAATGGTTTCGATAGTATGCTCTTGGATCATTTCAAAAAATTCGCAGTAAGTGCAGCTGGTGGCTTGGTTTTAACAAAGTAAGGAACTATTTTCAAATGTGTTATAAGGAAATAAATTTTGACATTTATTAACATCAAAAAAAAAATTTGTTTTAATTTAGGGATATAACAAAATACCAAGAAACTATTGCATTGTTTAAAATTTCTCAACTCGACGATCGCTTTGAAATGTTGCGTCAATTAGGAAATCTTTTCATTGTTAAACCAGAAATTCTTAAAACTGTACTTAATGAAGGTTATCTTGCTAAAATTGATGTTAAATATCTTCTTCCCTACCTTCAAGTTCGTACAGACTTTAAATCTGCTGGAATTGATACATTATTAGGAGCAACAGTTGA